GCTGGCTTTGAGCCACCCTCCTCAGATCTCAGTCTTCTGCGTAGCTAGGATTGCAGGTGTGAGCCACCGGCGCTCAGCTTAGAGTCTGTGGTTTTGTCTTTTCGTTTTTGTCTCTGCCATCGGTTGGAACTATGGATGTGGAGTCCACAGATGCTGAGGGCCGGTACATGATTGGAGAGAATGAGTCAGAGCCAGCGGGATGGGAAATGGCAGCGGGTGCTGAGGCCCTGGGCTGGGACTGAGCCCTGTGTCTGGCACTGGCTGACAGTGTGAACATGAGCATCTCTTTATCCACAGGGGCCTCAGTGTGCTCAACTGTGAATGCAGAGCTTAGCCTGAGGGGTAACAAGGATACTTTCCAACTCTAAGGTTCTGAGTTTTAATGAACCAGGACCAACATGAAGCCTTAGAATAGTTCTGGCCTCCAGGCTCAACCCAACTGGTATGTGACTGTCAGACTCCATTATTATTACTTGACTCTGTTTGCATGGCCCATGTCTCATTGTGCGGCAGTGCTGGCTCAAGGACAGACCTTGGAATGGAGTTCTCAGCACCTCCTGCACTGCTCATATGAGAGTGAACCTCTTCCCGGAAGCCATCCTGGAAGTGAAGGTATCTTGAGGCTGGGTAGTCGCCCAACTCCGAGGTCATTCGTTTGTCTAAACACTGAGGCTGAAAGTAATCCCTGAGCATTTTGTAAGTGTGCGTTTTAGGAAGATCGGACATTTGGGTTTTGTCCCTCTTTCCCAGTTACATTTGTGTGGGAGGGTTCGCACTGGTTGCCAGTTGTCTTCTGGGCACATTTCTGTCTGCTTGTAGAGAGATGAAATTCTGCACACAGGATGAGTTGTGTGGCCCGTTTACACAAATGTCACAGGCCACCCTTGGTTCCTGCCGTGTGCAGAAGCGATGCCGTGGTGTCCACACATGGCCCGAGGCAGGACGGGAAGGCTCCGCAGGGTGATTAATTCGAGTGGCCGAGTCCCACTGACCTGATGTGTTCCTGGTGCTGTGTCTGAGGAGCCTGCAGGGGAGCTCAGTGCCAGACTTGTGTTTGGGCTGGCGCTCCCAGGAGACTTGAGGAAGCCAGCGCTTCCTTACCTGACACTCCTACGTGTGTGGTTTTGTTTTGTTTTGTTCCTGGATTGTTTGGTGTGTGTTTTTCTTATGTGGTAAATACGTAGGGGTATGAAGAAGTGTTTAAGCGGAGAAAAGAAAACTTTCAAGTAGACTTGGTGCCTTGCTTCTCAGAGTTAGGAGCAATGAAAACAGAGCTGGGCCACAGGAGGAGTTTGGCATTTGTGCAGTGGTTCTAGAATTGCAGAGTCAGTGTTGTCTGTATCCTGTCAGCAGATGATGTATCCTGTGAGCATTACCGTTTTCTGCTGGTTAACATCTGGCCCATAGGCCACATGAGGCCCACAAGAATCATCTGCTCCACAGGTTTCTTGGCAGCTGCCCTCAGCCCATCTACCCATATTGATAATTTGGTATGGCTCAGGAACAATGTTATAAATAGCCAAAGGACCCTTGGCAGGAAGATGAGTCCCTGCCCCTAAAGTGTACAGACAGACTGCCAGAAACCAGTTCAACATTTTATTCTTTTTGTTGTTGTTGTTGGCAGTCCTGGGGCTTGAACTCAGGGCCTGGGTGCTGTCCCTGAGCTTCTTTTTTGCTCAAGGCTGGCACTCTACCACCTGAGCCACAGCGCCACTTCTAGCCTTTTCTGTTTATGTGGTACTGAAGAATTGAACCCAGGGCTTCATGCATGCTAGGCAAGCACTCTACCAGAAAGCCACATCCCCAGCCCCCCCATTTCAGCATTTTAAAAAATCCTTTATAGAAATTCCTGTAATTTTAGTGAGAATCCTAACTATAGCTTTGAAGTCTTGAAAAAAGAGAAGACTTTAAAACTAACGTTAGTACATTGGAAAACAAGGGAGAGCATAGCGTTAGCAGTGGAGGGCTCCTGTCTCATTCTCATTATTTTTTTTCCCGTTACTTTTTTCTAAAGAAGTACATAACTGTATTAGCTGGTGATTTTTTCCCCTTGGAATTAAATTTTGTTTTATAAACTGTGCTATTTTTATCATTTGGCAGCTGGGGTTTTGGAATCAGACTGGAGAGTTCTGATGCCAGCTTTACCATTTTTAAATCGTGAGGTTTTGAGCTCATCCAGTGTTGAGCATTTCTTATTTGTAAGATGCAGGAAACCAATGTCAGAAGATTGTTGAGAATGTTCATGAGAAGGTCTTCTGCCTAACAGGCATTTATTAAATGTTAAATCCATTCCAGTGCAGCAGGAAACAGTTTAAATCTAAAATCTCAGGACTCAAGTACCGAAATAAAGACATAAAACAGAGTTTGGTTGTAGGTTACTTGGGCTCCATCTTTAGCCTCTTTTTGATGTCCCTTTCCAGAACACTTTAGAAAACTTAGCTCAAAGCACTGGGTTTGAGGACTAGTCAAGACATTAAGACGTGAGTGGTGTTCTCTGGAAACAGTGGTTGAGGTGAATGGGTGTCTGAACTCACTGTTACCACAGTACAAGCAGGTGCCATAATTCTGGTTCCTGGATGCCCAGTACTGTGCTGAATATGCTTTGTCCCATTCAATGCCTATCAACACTTGAGATGTGGTTATGATAACTTATTTAATATACCTGAGGAAATAAGGCGCACTATGTTAAGAAGTGGATCTCTTCTTCCATGGCTTGGTAAGATTTTAAGCCAGGACCGTATTGTCTCTGGGTCAACAGTTGTGGTTTAGTACCTAATCTGGTTGCTGATTTCCACGTAGAATGCAGCACTTGCTAGTTACAATCTTCGAACCATTGTGTATCTGTCCAGGATGTGGGATGCTCCAGGGAATTGATTGTGTACGTCTAGTGCCAGTTTTTTTAAAAAATAATTTCCTGCTGTTCTTACGTTGACTTTTATCCATCTAAGACAACTGCAGGCATGACTGTTGGAATCAGGATTTCTTTGCCTTGGCTTCGCGCAAGAATGACCTGGGAACTTGGAAATGCAAACCAAAGAAAACCAAACAACCCAAAGCCCTACTGAGTCTTCATTCCCAGATATTCTAGTATAAACTGGAAACAGTGCCTAAAGTCTGCTGGCGACCGGTCCAGTTTGGGCCCAGCTCAGGATCTGAACTCAGGCTGGCTCCGAGAGGAGCTTGGATCAGTCTAAGAACATGCATCATGGTCCTACATCCCAGGCTGTTGGTGATCTGGCTCTGCACCTGGGGGCTTTCTCCATGCCTCATTCCCCACGGCCTTTCCGAGATGCCTCCACCCCAGAGGGGAGGAGGACAAAGAGATGAAGTGGTGTGTGCCATGCTTGCAGAAAGGCCTGTTTAGAAGGTTATTGTTTCTCCCAAGTGTAAGTGCTTGGTGCGATCTGACTTTTCCACTGTATATTCTTGGATATCCTGTCTCTGTGTATGTACCTTTTCTGGTAACATCCCAGAAGCATCTTCCATCTTGGTAAAAAGCAAGCGTTGTAGTAAGAAACCTTTCCATAGGTTAGTCGGGACTGACATTTTCTGTCAGTGGGCTCATGTTTCCTGTCTCCTTCACTGTTCTCATTCTCTCCCCAACCTGCTCCCATCTGGTCCCCACCACTCTGTAGCTATCTTTAACATGGACAGTGACAGACAGCAGCAAATCCAGCTGTGCACAAGATTCTAGGCCGTGGAAGATTTTTAAGGGAGATAAGTAGTTTACTATTTGCCAGAGTGACCTGTTGGAACCCAGATTTTATGAAAACATGGTGTTAGCAGGTTTTCCAGTTGGCTCAGTAAATTAAATTTTCACTAGCAAATATTTGTCCACAGTAATTGAAATCACTTGTTATTCTACTTATACATAAGAGGGCAGTATGGTACTGTAAAGCAATCGCTTTGTTGAAATTGCTTGTTTTTATTGGTCTATAATCATTTTTAGGTTAGATTTTTCAGGCCGTGCAGTTAAGACTCCGACCTTATCTTTAGTTTTTAAGCATACTTCATGAGTGTAAGTGATATTTTTATTCCCATCACAGGTCATATGTCTGATTTCCTTTATACAAATAAATATGCAGAAGCCTTTTTTGTGCCTTTTATTTTTATGGTTTAAAGCTAGCTGGTTTGCTTAGGAGTATCAGCATGCATCTCTTTGGAGATGCATGTCTGCTAGGCTGATGTCTCTACTTTATTTTATTTTGTGACTCTGTTAAAGACTCGGGTGTGCAGCATTGAGGGGATGGAAACCTCTGTTCTCCGGTCTTGGCAGACACAGACCTGTTATAAATCATCCTGGCATGGAGGATTTTTCAGTACACTGCCCATTACTGTTCTCCAAAGAGGAGGAAAATGACTAAGCAAAGAAGCAGCATTCAGTAATAATATTATTGCACGACAATGTAGATAAATCAAGGTGCTGATTATGTTCTAGATATCATTAATGGAAGGAGAGCACATTCAGAGGAGTTGTAAGGTATTAAATGAACTGATAGAGAATGACCATAAGAATCCAGAAAGGTAATTTCAGAAGCACAGGCTATTTTTAAACATGTAAAAAAATGTTTTCAGTCGGATGTTTCTGTTTATGTAGTTTGAGAAATGATTCAAGACTGGCGTTTTGGACCTAACTATAACTCCGTGAAAATTTAATGGGATACTTGTTTTTAATACTGTATCCTGGCTGCTTCTGCTTTTGGCCATGAAGAGCTATGGTGCCGTGTAGTCCTGGTAAAGATAATTAGACTTGTGTAGTGTTTTTTTTGGGAAAAAAAAATCTCTGAAGGATAATGATTTGATGGTGCTTTCACTTAATTTCTGAGAAAAATCTTACATTGAAATCTGCTGAAATAAATAAAAAAGAGCTGCGATCTCTTCTTCGTTTGTCGGCGTGGAGTGCTGGTCTTGGGGTATGTGAGTAAGCGTGGCCTTTGCTGCTTTACCGGCACAGTACTCACACAGACGACAACTGATGTCTTTTTCTGTATTGATGGCAGATTTTTCGGACCTTGCCTGATACCACATTCCCTGAGCCGACCTGCCTGTCGCCATCACCCCCAAATGCTCCACCCAGGCAGTCAAAGAGACAAGGCCAGAGGACGAAGAGACCTGTAGCTGTGTACAATCTTTGCCTGGAGCTGGAAGGTGGTAAGATGTTCACTTTGTTTTCCTGCTTGGAGTGACATTCAGAGCACAGGAGCCTCTCACGTATCATCGGGGCAGGCCGTGTGTGGTTTTCTGCCTTCTGGGTTTTTGTTTCTTTCTCCCCTAAGATTATAGTTTTTGAGATTAACAGGGAGGGTGCAGCTTTCTTGTCAGGGAAGAAAAATGCAAGTTTCAGTTTTGTGTTTGTCTTTATTATGCACGGTTCTTTTTTTATTTTTAAAAGACAGCTTAAATTTCTTTTTTGGGAGACTTGTGTGACCTCCTGTGAGGTTACATAACCCTGAGACGAATGGAAGGGAACTAAAATTAAAGCAGATCTTTTATGTGAGGAGCTGGTAGAATCTAACATGAACCATCTCAATTAAAGGCACAGGTCACCATTGCATTGGGCCTTATAGTTTTTTCTCCATACTTGCTCTGGTCGTCTGACTTTTATTTCTCCTAAGGCAGAACATTTCCCCATGTGTGGCCTGCCTTTGGAGCCAGGCAGAGTTAGCTGGGCTGTGATGGGATGTTAGCAAATGGTGGTTCTCCTGTTTCAACCAAGCTGCCATGTTCCAGCTAGTTGTTACCCTGTGGCTGCATTGTCTTAGTCCTGCCAGCTGGTCCAGTTTATAGGGAGAGCCTGGAATTTAAATTTCCAGTGTTCGTCCATTCAGAGGAAGATCGTGAATCACTTAAGGGCCATCTCCTGGTCACTTGGTGACTGGGTGGTGTGGTTTTGATGTGGAGAATCAGTCGTGGTGTGAAATTTAACCTGCGTTTCATGGGCATGTCTGAAACCGTGACTCCTGTCATGCACACATGTACTTCTCCCATATTGAAGACATTTCCTGAGTGTGAAATCAGTCTTCATTTTCTCCCCCGCCCCTAAGGTATTTTTCACTGGTTTAGGATCCCTTTGAACTTCTGAGAGTTTACATTGGTTTGGAAGTATGAGACGATTGTCAAAGGGAAGAAGCAGAGACTGGGGACGAATACAGTGCCATTCTTCTAAGCTGCCACACGTTCAAACCTTGGTATCCAAGGGTCCGTGTGAGGAACTGGCAGTTGTCCTGGAGTGACTTGGACATAATGAAGGAAGACTCCGGACACCCCATCATAACACAGGCAGGAGCTCTTCTGCTGTTCTTTCAGCTCTCTTCAGACATACACATAAGACACAACTATTAGACATTTTAACAGTCAAGTTCTTATTTTCCCAGGGAAGAACATGAATCATTCAAATCAGCTTAAAATCTCACATCTTCCCTTTAGACATTAGTAGCTTCCACTTCTGATCCCTTTTCCCTCTCTCTCTTTCTCACTTTCACTCTTTCTGAACAGAGTTGCTAATAAGGAGAAAAACTGACTGGTTTGAATTGCACCTTCTCTGTCCCCTGGTAGAAGTGTTAATAAATAGTGAAACAAGCAACTGTTGGAGCCATAGGATAATAGTTGAATTGGTTTACCAGCCCTGAGCAAACCAGAATAGACAGTTACTTCATAAGGAAGGGTCAGAGACTCCATTGGTCCAAAAATCACATCTACCTTTTTGATATTCTTAAGAATGGAAGCAAGCTTATGGAGATACTAGTCTTGAGTACTGGCTTGCGCAATGATTATTAATGCCTGAGAAGTGTGAATACTGATTTGTATCAGTGACAAACTCAAGATGGTATATCATCATACCTTTCCTAATCTTAGGTACAAGAGCATAGTATTCATTTTATTTAATTTTAAGTGATAAACTATTACTATAAATTTAATTTTGCTGGAGATGGAACTAGGGTCTTCAGGCATGCTACGTACATGCTCTACTGCTGAGCCACGCCTGAGCCCTGATACTGATAAGGGAAAAAAAGTGGATTGTCGAACACCTGATTCTTTTGGTTCTTTTGCTAATTATTTCGTGATGTTTTAGTGACCACTTGATGAAGAATTTTATAACCTTTCATTAATTTCTTTTAATTGCTGCCTTGATTTGTTTTTGATTTGTTAGAATTGGAAAAGTCATGAGTCTGGTCATGGAGTGATTTCATTTTACCTTAGAGCCATGAGGTGTAGTATGAGGCAATTAAAAGCTGTTATCACCCTTGCCAGTTGTTTGTATCTAAGCTTTATTGGAAGTCAGAGTGGGTGAACAAGAGTTATTCAGAGATAGAAAAAAACTAGGGCATGTGTTTTGGTAGGCTTTCCTGTTCTGCTGATTTAAAAATAATAACAGAATCCTACAAGGAAAAGATAGTAGAAACAGTTCATGCTGTTGAACATTGTTTAGCATATTAAAAGTTGCACCTTCTCAAAAAGAAATACATAAACACACATATGTATGTGTATATCTATGTATATGTGTATATATATGTATCTGCATATTGTTACACGTCTATAGACCTTCCTGCCTTCCTACCTTCCCTCCTTCCTCCTTCCCTTCCTCCCTCCCTCCCTCCCCTCCTCCCTCCCTCCCTTCCTCCCTCCCTTCCTTCCATGACTTAGGTTTTTTTAATTGTCCATGTCATCCAATTAACAGTAACACATAAAGATTTTAAAACTTTGTTTTTTAAAACAACTTTTGTTTTTGCTTTTCTTTTATGTTTTGAATTCCTTGAAGATCTCTTCTGTAGTTGTTGAAGCCAAAAACTTCACCAGATCTTTTTTTTACAAGATTACTGCCCTATCTCAAAGCACATCACTCTTCCTGAGTTCTGAGACCTTGGAAACATACCAGCCAAGCTCATCATTTGCCTCCCCCTCCCCCGCATTAATAGCTAAGTCAGTCCCCCTGTTTACCTAATTTTGGTTAAAATGCACATTATAGATAAACTTTAATTGATAGTTTTTCAAAAATTTCTATTTTTATGAATTGGATAGAAAATATGCATCTAACCCCTGCTCCCTTTATTCATTGTGATATAAGGTGAAAGTTGACTTAAGAAAATATAGGACAGGGGGCTGGGAAGGTGGCTCAGTGGTAGAGCGCTTGCCTTGCATGCCTGAGGCCCTGGGTTTGATTCCTCAGGACCACATAAGCAAAATGAAAAAAGCCGGAAGTGGCTCTGTGGCTCAAGTGGTAGAGCTCTAGCCTTGAGCTGAAGAGCTGAGGGACAGTGCCCAGGCCCAGAGTTCAGGCCCCACAACCGGACCCCTCCAAAAATATATATATAGGACAAAAAGATTTTTTTTAAAAAAATTAAGACGGTTATCTGTCAAGATTTGAGGAGCAAAATCAAAAAGCTAGAGATTATCTTCAGCCCAAAGATTTGGTCACAGATTTGGTATTTGAAAGAAGTGGTTTGTGGTGTATAATAATTCTTCTTCACTGCGTAGGAAACTGTGCTTTGCCATAGCCAATCTTGGGAAATATTTGGTTTCAGTGTAACATTCAAGGAGCTCAAAAAGTCATTTGTGGAAAGCCAGCAACTTACCTGCTGCAGGCAGAGAATACCAGCCCCTTGACACAAAGGTCCCTTGTGTCATTTGATAGGATTTTGGTCCTTATTATTCTGACACATTATAGTGCCAGTCCTAGGATTAAACTTTGGGTCTCACACTTTCACTTGGCTCAAGGCCGTTTGTTTTACCACTTGGGGGCCATATCTTCACTTCTATCTTTTTCCTGGCTAATTAGAGATAAGGGTCTCTCTAGTAATTATCTACGTAGGTAGTCTTTGAACAGAGAATTGAACAGAGATTCTCAGATCTCAGCCTCCTGAGTAGCTAGGATTAAAGGTGGGAGCCGCTGGCATCTGGTGACTTTGATTGTGTTATTGAGCTCTGTCGTCAGTTGGGAGATGACAAGTTTAGTCATAGAAGAGAAGCACAGTATTTCTATAAAATGTAAACTGATACTGGCACCCTCAACTGTATTATATATACTTGTTATTTTTCTTTGTCATGTGTGATCAATTCTTACCAAACCTACTTTGTAAAATAATTTGTACTTGCAGTTATTTGCTTAAGGGTTTTTATCGATGATTAGTATGAACTACACTGGAAATAGTACCTCATTTTTAAAAAAATCTATACTGAGATTCTTATCATTTTGAAGAATACATACGATTTCTTTTCCTATAGCATTTAGGAGTTGTCATACCTAGGTAGACTTGGATAAGTCAGTTGTAAAATAGCAAAATACGAATGAGGCAGGCTGGTCAGTGATAAAAAGAAGATTAAGAGTGAAAGGTTTGCTTTCATTTTAGCCTCCAGTTATCCTTCTGTGTTTTTATTTCCGTAGCAGTTATAGTAAAGCAATTCTAAAAGCAGCAAGTATGCACTACATGTTTGTTTTCTTCTTTTCTATAAAGGGGGCTGCCTGTTTGTTGTAATTCCTCCAAATAGATGAAGGGAAGATCATGGAGCTATATGAGATGAAAGTGATGTTTGTTATTTTTCCTCGAAGGCAGGAAAAAAATTAAATGCTGATTTGAGGGAAGAGAGGGGGTGAGGATTGCCATCTGATTTTATACTTCTTTCTTGCTTTATACTAGGTCTAATTTTAAACTGAATTAGACATTTATAGGACTGGTTTTTATATGTATCTTCTTGATATAATTGGATGTAATTCTTTTTGTACAGTATATAGCAATTTACTTATATAGGCAAGTTAAAAATTATGATTTAATGTGGGTGGAAAACAAAATCATCTTGCAAGTCAATTGGCAAGATTTAATATGCTAGCGTTGGTCTTTCTTGAGAATCGTTGGGTTGGCACTTTTAACATTTAGATCACAAATGTGCTAACTGCAGCACATTTTGCTGAACATGTGTTATTGTAGTCCAACAGAATAGTAGATATCATGAGAAGGATACGAAGACTTATAAGCAAAAAACAAATACATTCACTGCTGATGAGGAAGAGATGGACAAATGATGAAACAAATCCATCCTGTTTGTGGCACAAGTGGTAGAGTGCCAGTCTTGAGCAAAAGAAGCTCAGGGACAGTGCCCCAGGCCCCGAGTTCAAGCCCCAGGATTGGCAAAAAGACAAAAATCTATCCTGTTCT